AGAACTGCTTAGCGAAATTTTCGAGACGAAGTACACCTCAGGACTAGTTAACTGTAGTAGGTGTTTTGTTTTTACTTTCAGCACCAAAGTAGATATTGTCTGTATGGGTTCCCATGTCTCTAAAGTGGACATGAGCGCATATTTTTCTGTTTGGAAATTTATTCACTTTAAAGTAAAATCCACGCTTGCTCCATGGTAGAATCGTCCTGGAACTACTGTCATCTGTCGTTTCATCTTGTGCAGTAACAGACATATAATGAAATTGCTCCAACTTCAGCAGAAGGTTCCACGAAAAAACAGTAAAAGCCAGAAGATTAGCTGTCAATTGATTTTAACTATTCTCAGAATCATGCTGACTGTCGCCGTCCTGCGCACATGTCCTCAGGGTCCTCTGTGTCAAGGCACTAGTTAATGAATCAAAATTTTGCTTTTATCTCCATGAATGTCGACAACTCGAAGTGGAACTTCTAATATATCGATGGGGTTAGACCAGAGACGACCCCTTCAGGATCCGGAAACCAAAAGGTGACGTCTATTTAAATATGTGAAGCTGAAGGTTACAAAAATATGAGAAAGGGTGAAAAAATCAGAAAATACGGCGGTAGTGGTGTCAAGTATCAAGGAGCTACCTGCTTGTTTAACTCATCTCACTTCAACCATACCTGCAGTTGCCGTTCCGTGGTAACGTTTGCCGAGAATACAGCATAAGGTACTAGTTATAGCGTCAATACAGGTTCGAAAGCATTCTGTTCCCTCAGTGAAATTTGCATATCTTGTTGCTTGAAGCAAGACTGAGTTCTCTTTGAAAAACTGATTAAGGCATTCAGGCCACGCGTTTACACTTTATTTATTCTTTTTATGTCTACACGAAATATCAAAAATACAAAAAAAGATCGCGATGTTCAAAGACGCGACGCCTCTGAACATCACAATTTTTTGGCATCATGTTCCATTATTCGAGAGGAAAGAAAAATTGAGAACATACCTTTCACATACTATCGTGCTTCCTTGCTCCATCAGAGGTCAAGTGAGAGATCTTTAGCATATCTTTCTTTAACCTCTTGTTGAGTCAGGTCAGCTCTGAAAAACACGGTCAAGAAGAACTTTGATCAACAGTACCTTTCTTGTCCTTGTCTGAAGTCTTAAGAACGTCATCCGTTCCTCTTCTGTATCTGTAACTGTCCAATCCAATGATATGGCAGAGTAAAATCAATGACCTGAAACAGGCAATCATTTGGTTTCTCAACCCGATTTTGAGAAAATTCTCAATGAGGTGTTGCATAAGCGAGAATAAATGTTACAACAAAACGTCCAATCTCATTGCATCGCCTGCCGTACTATGTAAAGCACGTTAACACAGCTTTAAGCGCGCTTTCCGTGACAATTAGTTTGCAACACTTTACCTTCGTTTGTTCGCTATATCTGTGAATACGAGACGCTCCTTTGATGCCAGACAATCCTGCTAATAAACGTCACGTTTCGTTTTTACTTTTGAGATTTACATTAAAGCATAACAACCATACCGCAACGAAACAAGAGGCATGGACCATTGTAAGGTTATTATCTATGTAAGGTCACCGTCTAATGGTTATAAGGTATGTGAACTGTAGACTCTAGAAATTAAAATTGGTTGTTTACAATTAATCGGTAACGTGTGTGTATTTCTCAAGGTTCATATTGGTTTTTATGCAGAACTTTAGCTTTGATTGAATGAAAGTACGTGAAATCAAGACATTAGCTCGCTCCTCACAAAGACTCATGAGTTTTTCATCCCTGATTGATTTCCTTTGGTAGCACTCCATCCCGGCCTTGCCCAAACTTGACCGCTCTCCTGGGTTTTAGCAAGACATGAGAGAGCGATGATGGCACGTTTTTACGCAGTAGCCAGTATAACATAGCTTTTCCCCAGTTTTTTGAGAAAAAATTGATGGGAGGGAATCTCACCGCATATGTTTCGTGGTTCAAAGCCAACGCAAAAGTTCACGCCCTTACCATACGATTCTCCTCACCTGGCTTAATAGGGACTCTTTCAAGTGGAGCCACAAGTGAAATATTTCAAACAAACGTTTGAGCTCGAGCAATTGTCCCTTCTGGGTAATCTATGGTATTCATATAAGTGTTCGCAATAGTTCAAGTTCAATAGATAAGAGAACCACCGCCTTCGCGCGAGCTATCGGTTGAGGTACAAATGGGATTATTTTAAGACAACCTTTTAAAAATCAAGTCCTTCATTTTCGAGTAAAAAGTTACAATCAACCACCAAAAGAGCAGCTATAGCAGTAATCCAACGTTCCGATTGAATAGTAAAAAGCCAAATTCATACTCGGGATGTGTACCGTTATATACCCATCTGCTATACAACTTGACTGATGTCTGAAGTGGTCGGCCAATTTTTGAATTTACAACTGTGAGCTGATTGGAGCTTAGACTTTGAATATATCTTGACTGAAGAAAGGGTATATATATATATATATATATATATATATATATATATATATATATACGGTGAACCATGAGGAGGAATAAAGGGTCATATCCTTTGCCTTTGCTAAGCCTCCCTGCCTTTCATTGTCTTTTTCACTCTCTAGAAGACCCTACAGCAGTAGTTTCGCAGAATATTGAATCGATCACCAGCAAAGTAAGTGCAAACGGAAACAATAGGAAACCTTAATCGTTTAGAAGGACTTACGGTCAGTATCACAAGTCGAGGTGCAGTGGAATACCGCATATGAATGCAGTTGCTGATGTAGTATTCTGTTGGAATATCAGAATCAGCTTATCCAGCACCAGTAAAGAGATCCTTGGGAAGAGGTTACAGTATAGATTTACAGTGGACCTGCTGTTCGGGGCAACAGAGGAACAGTGGGATGCTTGAAGTGGGGAAGAGGCGTGTTAAGAATGACAGCAGCATACTTGCCCTCTTACTGAGCAGTCTCAAGGGCTATTAGGAATTGTACGGCTAGACGTACGAGCTGTAGTAGTACCAGTTGTGGCACATTCTGGTGAGCGTGAGCGCTAGCAGCGCGCATCGTGCTGATGGTGCGGGCATCTGCTCGCCCCGCCCCCACCGGCGCGTTATTACAATCTTGAGGACACGCTGAGCCGGCCGTGCTGGTGTTTCTCACCATGAGCATCGTCGACACGGCCATGAACATGGTCGTGATGGTCCGCTAGTGTTCATAAATCACTTTCGTCACGTTAACGTTTTTTCCTCGGTGACATGCCGTACGTTCGCGCGTGATCATTCCTGCACTGCGAGGTGTCTTGTACTTTCACGTATGCGCACAAGGTTTTTCGCTCTTTTCTCGTTTCTTCAGCTACAGGGAAATTTAAAAGATGGTTTGCAGTCTTTATTTACATGTTTCTGTTGATCATTTCACATATTTTTACTGATCTACTTAAATTTTTTTTCGTAAATTTTGCAACTTTTATCGCATGAATTATTCTTCTTTTTTGCCCCATAATGTTGTGCTACCTGTAGCTCATTGGAAAGGAGAAGTTTGCTCATTTGAAGGTTGTGATCTACGTGACTTTTACGGTCTTTTTCCTTGCACTTTGCAAGTGCCAATTTCTCAGGTGGTGGTGTGTTTGGTAACTAAATTTTTCATAGTACTTTGTACTGATGCATTTTCTTTCACTAACTGTTCTTACTTTCGTAGAAGGTGATCATTTGATCTACTTATCCTTGCCAAAGGGTTTCTTCCATGTAGCGCTCAGTTGCTTCAAACGCGAAGCGGCGTGCGAAGCGCTATTGCTGTGCCTATCTACCGTACTTTACGGAGAGGCGGAGTCCTGCTTCCTATAGCACGAGCTCGGCAGCCATGCTGACTCCGTTGCAATGACCATCGCAGCGTTTCGCTGGTGGGTACGTCTGCACACTCCACGAACTCCCTGCTGTCTCTAGGTGGGGGCTGTCTGCGTATCATGCATCCAAGCGATGCCTAGGCGTTCATCTCGGTCTACTGGAAAAGATTTGGCATGCTTTTCTTAGCGTTCAGATCAACTTGATGGTCACTACGTTGGTCAGTTTTGATCTTTGGAACGACCATGGATTTTCGAGCGAGTTGTTCCGGTATAGGTCCTTCGTTTTCTGAACAATACTATTTTCATTCCAATTTTCTATAAATAATGCGTAGCGCGTGCCGAAGAAGGAAGAACATGCACGTTTTTGGTTCTTTACTTTGATACTTATGTGTACTTTCTTATACTTTTCAAAAGCTTAATTCCGTAGCTCTTTTCGAGCGGTGTATAACAAATGAGAACGTTCTTACATTGTGCCATCTTTATTTTCAAGTTTTTTTTTGTTGTTTGCAATTTTGGGCTTTTTATGATTTTTTCTTTTCTTTCGAGATCATATTAGCTTCATGAAACTTTGCAGTTGCTAAAACTGCTCTTATTTCTGTTTTATTGTTGTTAAAACCATGCTTAATAAATCGTGAAGTTCATAGAAGACTTTGCGATTTTTTAGGCATTGGGAGGATTTGTTCTGGTCGATTTTGACTGTTTCAAATTTTTCTATTCTCAATATCTCGGTAACTGTATTATTATATTTTATATGTGCAGATGATCACATAAGGGTATGTGCAACAGTGTAAATATATTATCTGCGTGTATGAAATGTTCGGGTTATGTGTAGAGGTCTTTTCGTATTCATGATAGTTCATTTCAATGATTAGCACCATAGCAGGTGTCAGCTCTTCTAAAGTTTTTTTCTGTATCGTGTCTAATTGATGTTAGAGTTCCTACTAATATTGATTCCGGGATTTTTTGTCGTTGTGTACACAATCATCGGAAGTAAATTCCCTTTTCAGCGTGTCGCTTAAAAGACAAGAAGGTAGCAAAGGCGGACGGCCAAGCTGCATGCCAGCACTGCGCGTCTCGTCTTGAGTTGTTCTGCTACGACAGCAAGCATCTGATTAGTTAACCAACCGGAGTAGCTGCTGAAGCTCTCGGATCAAGCAGCGTGCGCACGCCCGCCAATCCACGGCTCACTCGACGCCATGGACGAGCCAGCGTGCAAGAAGCTAAAAGTCGATTCTGGTCAGCTTTATTCATTTTGTTATATACCTCTTACTCAAGATTTCTAAATTGCTGTTTGTTATAGTGCCTTGCTCAGATTTTGAATCTGGGGATGGATTGGATGGACTAAGTGAACTTGAAAAGTTAGAGCCATTACCACAGTCGGCACACATTGGTGGTGACATACCAGTAAGTTCCCAGTCATTGTTTTAAGATGTATCTTTTCAA